GGTGCCAAGCATCCGCGCGCCAAACCCAAGACGTCCGGCGCCCCGCCAGCGCCTCCCAAGCCGACCGCCTAGAAGCCCCCCCTACGCACGCCTCCAAGGCCGTCTCGCGGCCCGGCGCCGCATCGGCGCCCCCGCCCGAGTGCTTCAATTTATCCATATGGGGGCACCGCTCCAGTGGGGCCCGGGGGGCCCTCCGCCTCCGTTCGATCAAGGCGAGTACCCACTCCGGACCCCGGCGGAATGGCAAGCATGGCGGGAGCTGCGCGACGAGTACCTGTGGACGGGAGCGATCCACCGGACGGAGGTTTCTTCCAGCGCCCGAATTTCGCGCGCCTTTTTGGTGGCCAAGCCGGCGGAGAACGGGAAGACCAAGTACCGTTTGGTCATCGACCTTCGGTGGATCAACCGCCATCTCAAGAAGGTCGGTCTCCGCTACGAGCGCTTGCAGGATTTCGGGTTTCTTTTGCATAAGAATGACTTTCTGGTGGGATTCGACGTGAAGAATGCTTACCATCACATTCGGATGCACGCCGATCAAGAGCATTTCTTGCTCTTTCGAATGGGTGGCGAGATTTTTGCTTGTCGGGCGCTGCCCTTTGGACTCTCTTTGGCCCCCTTTTATTTCACTCATGTCATGCTCGTTGTGGTCCGTTTCTTAAGGACCCCTAATGCATGTCTGGGGGCTGGAACTCGTTTTCGATTTGGCTGTTTAGCGGGCAATGATTCCATTTTACAGTACTACCTAAAGTACTCGTGGGAGGTTCCCGCGTTAATTTTAGCATATTTGGACGATTTCATTGCGGCCATGTCCGATCCGGTCCGTTTGCAGGAATGGTCCAGTTTGGTCCAGCGGGTTTTCCATGCTCTTGGGATTGAATTCAAACACTCAAAATGCCAATGGGAGCCGGTGCAGCGGAAGACTCATTTGGGTGTGGTTATTGACACCACCCGGTGCCAATTTCTGGTGCCTCCGGACAAGGCAGCTGCCATTGCCTCCCGTGCTCGTGCCATTCTCCTGTCGGGTGTTGTCGTGGCGGGGAAGTTGGATCAATTCTGTGGCTTTGCCATCTCGCTTTATTTGGCATTTCCGCTAGCCCGTTTTTTCTTGATGAGCCTTTATGCTTTATTGAGAGGGAAGTGTTCTTGGCGGGATTGGCTTCTTTTGACCCCCCAAGCCTGCCTGGACCTTTTGGCCTGAACCAATCTTTCCAGGCTTGCCGGCCGGGCTCTCCAACCGGCTTCGTTGCCTTTGCTTGGCACCCTGGCGACGGATGCCAGCCTGACGGGTTGGGGAGCGACCTTTCAGCCTTTGGGTCACCCGGCCCCCATGCTTGCGAGGGGCTTTTTTGATCGGACCTTATTCACATTAATGTTCGTGAAATGCAGGCCGTGTACTTGGCACTGCTCAGTTTCTTTCCTCGCCAGTACTCCGGGACGACTTCCCGGCGGGTCCGTTTGTTGGTGGACAACCAGGTGGTCTTGCACTGTATCCTTTCCATGGCTACCCGGGCCACCAGTCTCCTGAGGCCCCTCCGCCAGTTGAAGGCCGTCTGTACTGCACGCCGGATTCTCCTGGAGCCGGAGTACATTCCCTCCGCCGAGAATGTACTGCCAGACCGGCTTTCCCGTATACGGACCTCGGAGGACTACCGCCTGAATCCGCGCATATTCCGGGAGGTCGCCCGCAGCTTCGGGGCCTGTTCTGTGGACCGATTCACGTCCGCCCGGAATGCCCTCTGCGCCCGCTTCAACAGTCAGTACTGGGACGTCGGTACGGCAGGAGTGGATGCTTTCCAGCAGGATTGGAGCGGCACCAGGTCCTGGTGCAATCCCCTGTGGAGCCTCCTCGCGAGGCTTGTGTCCTTCCTCGCCTTACGGCCGACGCTGGAGGCGGTGGTGCTGGCGCCGGACTGGCCGAGCGCGGTGTGGTTTCGCCCGCTCCGAGCGATCGCCCGGGTGGAAATGTTCATCCCTCGCCAGGCCGACCTTTTTCTCCCCAGCGACCCGACTCTCCCGGCATCTCTGCCCCCTCCGCGGTGGAACCTACGGGCGTTCCATATGTGCCCATGGACGACGCGCCATCTGAGACCAAATCGGAGGAAGGCGTGATCCCGCAGGACGCCCCACCCTCTCCGCCGGGGGACCATCCGGGGGATGCCTTGCCGCTGGAGCCGCTGGCGGAGGATGACCCCCTGTACGGCACCGACCTGGACGGTTTGCTCCGTGACGATCGCTGCTGGATGGAGCATCAGTTTCTGGCATCCTACACGGACGCCACTCGTCGGACGCTCCAGGCCAAGTTCTTGCACTTCCAACGATTCTGCGAGACAAACGACCTGGTCGCGCTGCCCGCCCGGCGGGCGTCGATCTACCGATACATTCGTTTTCTTCGGGAGGAGGGCAAGGTGGGCGTGCGGTCGTTGCCCCTATACCTGGCCGCGATTTTGATGATGCATCATGTCGCGGGCCATTTGGGTTTCTTGGCCTTCGACCCGGTCACCCGTATCCTCACCCGCGCTTGGCGCCGGGCGGCCCCGAGCCCGGTGCAGCATCGCCGACCGATCCCTGTGTCCCTGCTTCTACGCATTCTGGACGTCGGCCTGACCACCGAGGACGGGCCCACCCTTCGGGCGGTGTGTGCGGCCCACCTCGACTACATTTTCTTTAACCGGGCCCAGTCGGGCCATTACATCCTGGTCGACGACGTTCGCATCGATGAGGAGGTTGTGGTCTTTCGCGAGCGCAAGACCAAGCTGCGCCCCGGGGAGGAGCTCCGGTCGCGCTATCGCTCGTGGCCTTCTCGCGGCGCTCCCAAAGTCGTCGCCCTTTTGCGCCGCTGGACTCGTTTTCGGGATCAAGCTTGGGCGCAAACGGACCAGCAGCCGCGCCATTTCTACCGCCTGCCCGGCGACGCCACCCCTTCGTCCAAGATGGTGGCCTCCTGGTTTACGTCCCTGCTCGCGCACTTTCCGGACCTGGCCCACGAGCCCTTCACGCATCATGGCCTGCGCGGTGGGGGCGCGTCCAGCTGCTTCGCCTTGGAGGTCGCGGAGCGGCGCATCCGGGATTGGGGTGGGTGGAAGTCAGACGCCTTGTGGTCCTACATTGATATTTTCCGTTTACCCACTGAGTGGGATTTTCGGCTGTTTGGTTGGATGACCATCACCGCCCACGACCTGCATGAGCAGTTTGGGCACATCTTCTACCCCGGAGGGGCCTCGCGTTCCCTAGAGTGACTGGGCAAGTTTAATGGACGGGAACCTCGGGAATGTGACGATTGACGGTTGTTTGCAATTATTGTCATGGGGGTACATGACGGGGTGGGCTCAGGAGACCGGTAAGGCAGAAATGAAGGTAACTATCCTGTTAATAGGTTTCTGCCAAGGGCGACGTTGGGTGGGCTGCACCGGCGATTCAAACGGTGCAGTTTGAATCTGGGGTTTACTCAACCCCGTCCCTTGGGATTTCTGGCTACCCCTAGTACCGTGGGTCAGTCAAAGTACGGTATTCCGAGGTGCCGCCCGCAAGGGCGCCCTCGAGTTTGGCGGGCTTTGGCGGGGCGGCGGAGGGCGGCTATTTAGGCAGCCCCGCAGTCCCCCTCCTTATCTTGTTTCGCACCCAGCCCTCCCGCCCTGGATAGTGGAGTTCGGGTTAGTTGTGGGATGGTGAGGGAGTTGAGGGAGTGAAGTACGGGAAAGGGAGCTGACTCATGGGGAGTCACTCACTGAAGTGGCATTGAAGTACTAGCGAAGCGAATGGGCAAGTTTAATGGACGGGAACCTCGGGAATGTGACGATTGACGGTTGTTTGTAATTATTGTCATGTGGGTACATGACGGGGTGGGCTCAGGAGACCGGCAAGGCAGAAATGTGTGTTCATTGGCGTACATTGAAAAGGCAAGGTTTGCTAAGCATGACCAGTCTGCCCTCTGCCAAAGCACAGTTGTCACGTGTATGAGAGGTCGGGAGACCCTCAGTGCTTATTCTGGAATGGTACTGGTTGAACCGTCCTTGCAGCGCACAGACAAGTACTGGGATTTTTTTTTCTTGTACAATTTGTGCACCCTTCCATGCAAACACGGATGTGACAGCGTTCCTTCAGTGCCAGACAATTTGTTTGGACGTTCATTTTGCGAATTCACTCCACTAGATGCGCGAGTTTATCTTCTTTTGCACCACATGCCACACGCAGCAGTCGATGTTGTCTCATCCCCAATCGAGACATTTCACCTTTTCTACAGGATGCTCTTGCCATGTGCGTCCGTTATATGCACCAGCTGACACAAGTTTTTCTTTGAGTGAATTGCCGTTTGTCAAGTGAAGCAGAAGCGCCAGTTGACGGACGACACAGAACGCCGAAAATGAAGTGTTTCCCGGGTGGGAGGATAATGCTGCCAGACATTGCGTTGGCATTGTCCCACCATCGGAATGAGGGGCCACTCAGTGAGGCCATTGGTGTCGCGCACATGCAGTACATTGGAGGCTGATGCGCCATATGGTGCCCGCCCCATCCTTCATCCACATGATTGGCATGAACGGGCGCGGGCACTGATCGTTCTTGGTACAGTTGCATTCACTCAAGCGGTAGCCGCCGACGCCATCTCACCATCCAAATTGCAAACACTCTTTCCCTGGACGTCCTTGCGCCAAATCTGTTGACCAGTTTATTGCCACAACGCGCCGCCGCAAACACCCTGCCACCATGGCATTGCAATGTGCATGCTCTGCACAGAACAATTCACATAGAACAATGCACGAAAGGGTGCACAATAAACGTCTCCTAACATGCTTTGCCCGTTCTGCTTCGCTTGTGCTGCTTTCCTCCCTGTGATGCATTTGCACACCTGCAGCTCCACTCTGGGACGTTGAGCACCTGGGCGTGGCCTGCCTCTGGCGATCTGACAGGCGTGGGCCAGGAACCTGTTCTGCTAAAGTCAATTGACAGTAGCTTGGGTCAGGTTTCGTGCTGTGAATTCTGCGTTTCTGCTGTGCCCTGATATGTCACTCTGCCTTCTTGTCATTCTGATGCGGCCCTTCCGAAGTGCCGGCGTCCAACTCCTTTCGTTGTTGCTCAGAAGTTGTCATGCCTAAATTGCACACAAACCTACGTGTGCACAGACCATGCAAGCAGTCAAGTGCAGCCTGCCCAAGACATCAAAGCGCCCCAGAACAAAATGTTCGAGGCCGGAATGGCATTGGCAAGAATTGCATTTAGTTACCATACATTGAACTTTCTTCATGGAACCCATGATTGGTCATCTCGAAAGAGAGTGTGAACTGAGGAGTTCTACTCTATTTTGCATGTGACCTAGTAGCCATAGTGGACAGGAGCCAACACCATCTTAAGTCGATTAGTTGTTAATCAGTTGTGTGGTAGTCAAGGTGCTGGGCACTATTTTGCTTTGGGCGGGCAGGTAAAAGAAACTCTTTACAACAAGTTGCTGCAAGTGAGAACCGGCCTTCTGTCATGAGCCTGAACATGCTCACCTTTGCTTCAAGTGCAATGGAAACCTCAAAAGCCCAAAAGACAGTATGAAGCAGATGGCATCTCGCAGATAGGATCAGTCACAGCAAGATGATGCAGTATAACTTGGTTGGAACTTGGAGTACAACAAAATCTGCAGATGCCCACTTTGCATCACTTAATTGAAATCACGATGGGAGGCAGACTGCTACTTTAGACGTGCCAATTAAAACACACATGAAAATGGACGTCACTGAGTGCTTGAAGAAGAATTCAGTTCTGTGACATTTGGAGAAAAACGGCACCGCTAAGAAGACCTTTCACCAACATGTTGATGTGGGGAGTTTCTGCAGAGGCAGACAAAACGCCTCAATCAAGGGGACAAAGGGGACAGCTGAGCAGATTCTAGTGCACTGGTGAGTGGGGAACAGCACAATGGCAACTGCAGGCACACAACATGCCAAATGACAACACGTTGAATTGCACACAAAGAGCTAACCACGTCACTCTCCAAACGACTGTGCTGATCGTTGGCCGCCTATTGTTGATCTGCACTGCCAAGTGTCACTGACTAGCCGACACATCCCAGATATAATGAAGCGCACATCTATTGCCCCATCCATTTCTGCCTGGTACTCTGCTGGACAATTATTATGGTTAGGTGATCAAGGCACAGCTTATGCAGGCAAAAGAGCAGTGAGCTATCAGCAGACGAAGTAAAAAGTTCTGGGTAGCGACGCACCAAATGATGAGGGCCCATAATCCAAGGGCCAGCATCAACAGGAAGGCCAGATGTGGAACAAGAAATGGATATGCAGCGATGGAGAGCAGGAGAGTGGCACCGAGGGTCACCACACACAGTAGAAGCACGATGTTCAGGCACACGAACGTGGGCTTCTGTGCACACCAGCCCAAACGCAGGAAGCTTTCATGTCCTCGTGGATGAGTATTCACACCGTGCTCAAGTTGACAACACATTCTTCAGAAACCACGGTATTGGAAGGAAATGGGGGCGTGGTGTTACACAGGCGCTGAGCGACGGCGCGACAGACTGGTGCCTTTAGGAAACAGTACCCATTCTAGGCTTCCTAAGGCTCGGAAACTGCAGATCCTCACGGTTGCACAAGTGGGGCAGCACGCCATGGCCACGCGCGTTCCCATCGAGCGAGCCTCCCTGAGACCCGGGACAACATCTCCCGAAAACGTGGCGCTCTTCAGGTGGGACGCCCCTTTCATTCGCAGTCTCCCGTCCAGTCGCATCAGCGACTTTACAAGCAACAGGTGGTGGCTGATCTGATCCAGCACACTGTAGCACCGGGACCCAACCCACGTTAACTCCGGAAGTGAGGGCTCCAAAGACGATGTCTTCCGCCCAGCCAGCCATGCAGTCCACGACCACAACTGCACCCGCGACCGACAGCTTGTTGGTGCTGGCGCCTTGCATTCAGACTGTGCAATGGACCCTGGAACGGTGCTGCGAGTCCGTGCAGACAACTCCAGTACTTTCCACCAGAGCACCGATTCCCCGACCCTGGTCAATCATCATTGGACAAAAAAGGCCACCTGGACTGCCTAAAAGTCGGTTCGAGAAATGTTACATATCAAGGCAAGGACGTAGCCGTCAACTCCATATTTTATCAGAGAAGTGGTCCATAATTTGTTCACGTTAATCAATTGCACCAATGAAATCCACCACTTGCTGATTTCCCAGAAGCAAACTTTTGATGGTTTTACGTCGAAAGAAGCCTCTTTGCAGGAAGGCCAGGGAGGGCAGAAGCGAAGAATGTCTTGGCACTGCTGTGAGAAAGACATTCAAATTTCTTTGACGTATGCCGTCTCAAACATGGCAATGAACGAGGAAACGCATTCTTCTTCAAGACCGCTTGACAAAGTGGACACGAGCGGCTTGCGAATAGTCGAAAGTACTGAATTAATTAGTTCATGCAACTATAGCGCAACCTCATGAAAATGCATCCCGCAGCGAAATCGTGGATATCCGCTTAATTTGTTTAAGCAATCGTTGAACCCTCAAAGACCGGCATGATAAAATGCTGGGAATATGAGCGTTTGTAGATCTACTTAAGCCCTTCGACTGCACAGTCGAATAGACACGTGTCTAAGCAATTCAAGCGTTTCGCAGATTGCGCCATGCAGCACAAACAGCCCATTCTTGCGCTCCAGTGGATGGCCCAATGTCGTCTCTGTCCGAGCGTTGACCTTGCAAACAAACCAACCACGTACTTTTAGGCACTTTCACAAGCCCGCATCATTGGCAGCCCGTTCTTCTTTTTAGTTTTGGTTTGAATTGGAGGAGAGGCGGTTGGATTCTTTGTCCCTACTGAGGCCGGGCGTCCTGATTGCGCAACGTGTACCCTAGCCATGGCCGCCCCCCCTCCGATGTCTCACGGACGAAGGTCGGGTGGATTTGAGCTGGGCGCAAGCTTTGCTGATCTGGCGGGCCACCCCATTCAGCCCGACCGCGACATCGACAGGGCCGACCCATCCCACCTGCCGGCAGCGGGACTTACGGGACGGACACCCAGAGGCCCCGGGCGCTTCCTTTGGCAGGTGACTCATATCATGAGGCACTCGAGTGAATTCTGGATGTGTGGAGCTACTTTAAGCCACTACATAACCCTGCGAAGCCATCACCTGGCTTCGCTTGCTTCTAAAAATAGCCATACTACCTTAGTTATTCGTTCATGATGAATGGTCACCATACTTCCCCTGATGAATGACCTGTTAAGCAAAACAGGGAACTAATGGCTGCCTCCACGGTTGCACGTGCCATGATTCTTGTTGATGGAATCGGCAACGCGCTGTCAGGCGATGGTAAGCAGTTGGGAAGAGTCTTGCACTGTGCTTCGTTGAAGAGAGAGCCTACACTTGGACAACACAAAAACAGGGCAGGATTGAGTGAATGTACGGTGAACACCGACAGCCCCGGTATTTCCTACACAGCATCGTATGTCCCTTCACCACCATATTTTACGAAAGGGAATGACAATACGATCCTGGATGCCCATCCTGCATAACATCTTGCGCAACTATCAACAAACGACTCCACAGCTCATTTAAGTGTAATTTTGACGAAATTATGACTTGCGCACCGTCGTTCATTGAGTGTGGTGCAGCGGGATGTTGCCATGCTGTGGAGGCCGAACGGGATACTTTTGAGTCGAATGCGGTGCATTTTTGAAATAGCTTGCAATAGCTTTCCAATTGGCGGGCTGCCGCTACAAGCACACAGTCCGTAGTACGGATTCCGTACAATCAAACAATCTTCCTTGAGCGATTGAGAGTGTCGCCAGAGCAGACTTGCTGCAAGGAACGCGACCGTCAGGTGAGCGGAAACTTTCCCACGGGCACGACGTGGGTTCGCCTGGTGTTGGGACGTTCTCAGCCGGAGGGCTTGAAAATTAACCGTCAACTTCTTACCGCCTAATGCGAAGCGCCGTGACCCAGGTGTTGTCTCTGGCTGCCCGGTATCGCCTGTACAATTAGAGCGTGTTGAATTGGGGGTGGCAAAGAACATCATTTCGACGAAGGCGCATCAAATAACCTCTAAACGCGTGACATGTGTTTTCCACCCAGAAGGAATGGAGGGTTGGGCCATACATGCAGCAGAGTTGGCAAAATCCAGAATCTAGAGAGGCCTTCAAGCCTCCACCGTCGGAAAACCGCGAGCCATCCAAGGTTGGCGATGCTTCAAGAACTGTTTTCTCAATTGCAGCATCAACATGCGTCATCTTTGTGGCACAACATTGCGATTCACATACAGCACGGCTACAAATCTTTGCAACTTTCCTTCCAATGGCGGTGCATTTATCTGACGCTGCTAATGGCCAGGTTGCAGAGTCCTGCCACTCTGCCATGAAATGCACGGTTTGGCTACAAATGGAAGGGTTTCATTTGACGACTTGACAGCACAGTTTGCTCTTCTTTGCCGAATGACCATCGCACCACGGTAAGATGCACCATCACGAGACCTCGCTGTTCTCCTTCTCCCAGTGTATTCCTCTCGCGTCCGAGCCAGTCACAACGTGAGCCCATTTGCAACAGGAGGGCATATGCCGAGATTATGACACAAGTCGATGATGTGTTGCGATGACAGGCGATAAAGCCCATTGGCTGCGGCATTCCTAAAGGCACGTATCCAAGCGACCATTTGTAAGCTCCATCAATGTCCGCATTGAGAGCATTTGCACATCGCCGTGCCATACACAACACACTTTACCAGCGATGCACTCGTTCCAGGCAAGCCGAGCTCTTGGAGGCGCGAATGAATACTAGTCCATTCCATGCAGACTAAAGAAACTGGCTTTGCTGCATGTTCATGCGCACATTGGTTCAGATTCTCTCCAAAAGACACTCGCAAGTCCGGGGCGCGTGAGGTCATGGTATCGATCAGCCGCCAGTGGCACCAACTGCTTGCTAAACTGTGTGGAAATTCGACCAGATGACAGTGAATGGCGAACTTCAAGAGATTCGACCCATCAGAGAGCCATTCCCAGTGTTTTCCTTGATGCAAAGGCCAGCAGCTGCCAGCTACTTGCACAGCATTGTCCTCGTACATTTTGACACCCCTGACTCCGCGTCTTGATGCTGTGGCATCCAAAGGACGCTCTACAATGTCGACTATGATGCTGCACGTTTACAAAGCGAAGACGGGCCCCCATCTCCAGTGAAGCCAAAAGACAACAGGGAGCAATATGTGACCCAATTCAAGTCCGACTATTCGACGACGTCCAAGACAGCACAGGGCATGGTGGGTTCCTATCCCAGTCATATCTCCTCCAGTGTGCAAACTGTGCAATCCTCTTGTGCTGATGCCAAATTTGACCTTACTTTCGTTTCTTCACTCATTGCGCGAACTGATTATGTCATCAAGGTGAGCTTTGGCGCATGGTGGCGTCCTTGTGGCTTGATCGCATCAAGTGCTTTCGGTGCTTCAGGCTCTCCAGCGCACAGAAGCAGGCACGTTGCCTGGTGGGCTTCCCTGCACAAAGGAGCACGGATATGACATAATCAACGGGGGTCAAGCCCGTCATAACAATGCTTTTGAAAGTTGGGATGACAGAGACTACAGGCGTCACAGGGCAGTCCTGGGTCAAGAATCCTGACTTGTGTAGCCAGACTGTCAGACACTGTGACTTTTCTTCGTCTTGTATTTGATTTGTATTGCACACTACCACATAAATGCAGGAGCTTGTACTAATCTGTGCAGCGGCACACCAGGCAAGACTTGTTGTTGAGTTTTCTGCCCACCAAGCACACGACTCGGGAAGCTTCACATTTCCAGGTGTGATTGTGTCAAAGCCCACCGGGTTCCACATAGGGCAGCGGCTTGCCCACAGAGGAAGTGCGTCTTGTGCACGAACACTAACAGAAACACAACCTGTGGTACTGTTCATTGCCAAACTGCCACAGCAACCATGCCTGCAAGTATCCATTCACCCCGTTGGCTCCAATTGGCATTCTTGGTAGATCAGCAGAGCCAGCACAGGCCACCGCATGAACTCCTCCCCTGTGTGGCCCTTGTTTCATCCACGTCGCAACTGGATTGGACAACATCAACAAGACGAGTCAGACTCGAGGCACACGAAGCGCGCCGCCGCATTTCCTTGGGGCCCGTCAGCTCCCGCGGCAACGAGCATCATGGCCGCGACGCGTGCAACAGGTCCCTGATTGCCGACAACGCGCTCCACAATCCACGCCGTCCCGCCCTGCACCCCAACGCCAACGCCATTACGGCGTCACCACAGGTCGGCACCAGGAGTTTGTTGGTGTCTTGGTATGCGCCCGCGCCCACCGATTCATGCCGAGAACTCCCTGTACACGAAGGCGCTGCGAATGAACTACGCTCGCCCAGCTGTACATTGGGCCAACCCCGTGGCTCTGATCAGTGCCTCGATTATGCAACACGAAAGCTGTGGGGAGCCAACGGCAGTAGGGGCCTGTATTGTTGGTGCGCAGCGGGCGCACTGCGCTGTGTGGACCGTGGCAGCCTCGTAACTTCCAATGGCGTCGGCTTCGAGGATCAAACTGGACGACCAGGCTCTGGTGAGTACGGCCAGCCGTGTGCTGTGGGCAGGCGTTGCTGTCTGGTTTGGGCATCATCTGCTTGCTGGTGGCTCTGCCAGTTCCATCGAGACACGACGATATTTTGGACGACGCGCCTGATGAAACCAGAGGCGTCCATTGGAGTTCGTTAGCGCGGAGTTTTGCACTGGAAGGTGTCCGTCACGAAAAATGAACAATGGAAAGCACAAACCCCCACGCCGCCAAGCTGGCGCCCAGAAGGGTGTCATTTTGGAAACAGCACATTGCAGTGTTGTGCAAGAGTTGACCCAGTCATGGCAAACTGCAGCTCATCCATCAATGTGACTATCTGCGGAGGTGCAGGAGAGCTTTCGTACATGGCTGGCGAATGTTGCTGTGGTACAGATCAGCTGGTCCTTTGGTGTACAAATCAGATAGCATGCAAGCACCTGGGGGACTGATGGGTCTGAACCAAGCTCTTGTTCGATGACTCTTGTGGTTCAGGACTGTGAGTTCCATCCATCCGAGCCTGTCCTTGTGGTTGGGCTAATTACAGGTGATGTCCAAACCATCAGAATTGCCCCAGAAGTGCCGCAAGATGATGGAGAGGAGCCTGCAGAGTGCCCCGTAGTGCCAGCCTCATCCGGATATTATTCTGCAGAGTTGTTGATGAAATCTAAAGCCCATAAAGGCTCATGCAGGGCCGTGCAATTCTCTGAGGATGGCACTAAATTATTCTCCGCATCGTCTGACGGCTCCATCAGAGTGACAAATTCTGAAACTGGCAAGAAAGTGACAAGCATAGCTGGAGCCCATGACGAAGAGATTTACAGACTGGAGACTCTTGGGCGTGACACTGTGGCTTCAGGAGATGATTCTGGCTGCATCAAGGTGAGTGGGGATCAGTGCAGTCACACATTGCAGAAGGGCTGAACGGCTGCTTACATGCTGCCCATTATTGGTTGACATATTCTGCAATATATTCTTCGCTATGCAGTGATGTGCAGTGATGTTGCTGCAAAGTAGAACCTGGCAGAAAATGAGTTGATATGGACCCTGCAGTGGCCATTGTCATTGCAAGGGAGGCCTGTGTTATCCCGATTGGTAAACTTCACACTTCTATCGGCCAAATTGCCTCGAGCTACGTTGCCCATCCATTGATGGACAGGTTAGTTCATCGGTTTGCTGGGGTTCAAGCTTCTCCCGACTGTTTGTTGGGCCACACTATCAAATGGATACTGACATACTGCCGTACTGAGGAGGACAGGAGTTTGATAATTTTCAAAAGAACTGCTCTTGCCATGCATCGCAGGTATGGGATGCTCGGCAACGCCACTTGTGCGGAAAATTCTCAAGCCACGAAGATTACATCACGGACCTGCTTCTTGACTGCCATCAGCGTCAGTGTTTAATCGCCACGAGTGGTGATGCCACTGTTTCCCTGAACGACTTGAGGAAGTTTAAAGTGGCTGCTGAGAGTGAGTCAGGTGGCAGGCATGAACTTCTGTCAGTGTGCAGCGTGATGGGCGGCAAGAGTCTAGTTTGTGGCACACAGACAGATCTGCTGCTGATATTCTCGCGACCCAACATTGCCTGGCACACTGGCAAAGTCAAAGGGCATCCCGATTCGGTGGATGCGCTGATGAAGATTGATGAAGACACCATGGTCACAGGATGTGGAGATGGAGCCATCAGACTGGTGAATGCCTCCTCAAGAAAGATCTGTGGGACGTTGGGACGTCATGGCAGCGAGCCAGTGGAGAGGCTTTGCATGTCTTCGGATGGTTTGGTCTTGGGGAGTATTGGTCATGACTCTGCTGTCTGCCTTTGGGACATGTCGTCGACTGCGCAGAGCAGCGCATCCAGCGGTGAAATGGATGAGGGCAGTGATGACAGCGAGGAGGAGAAAGTAGAACAGCCTCAGGCCAAGAAACGAAAGATTCCAGTCATGTCAACATTTTTTGCCGACCTAAATGATGACGCATCGGGAATTTAGCAGCCGTGTGTGTGCATGTGTTTGTGTTTCTCTTTCCCAGAGTTTGCCATGGCAACCTTGGAGCGTGTCATCTCACCAACTCCAAAAACGCAAATCGCTGCGCCCCACTGGACTCATGAGGACTTCTATCATTCCTTGATGTTTGATTGTGCCCTTGTGTGACAGCAGTGTGATTTGCTTGGCGACTACTGCGCAATGGCGCAGCAATTTTAGCCCATAGAGGACGAGTACAACTAGATGAAGGCAGCTGTTGGCACCAACATGTTGTTTGAGCGAGAGAGCGCATCAAACCAAGCCATGGGCCATCGAACATACCGTGAAATGTATTGGAATTGCTGCAAGCGACGCAACACTCACCCTTTCTGCACAGCCGCGAATACAGTAAAGCGATGCTCTTCTGGATAAATGTAGACGAGAGGGATCTTTCGAAGAAACGTGATATTTTAATTGTCAATGTACGTCCCAACCAAAGCAGTCTGTGTTTTTGAACCTGGGTCCCATTCAGGCACCGCTCGCTCAAAATGGTGGGTGGGAATGGGCGGCGGTCATGCTGGAAGGCTGGCAGCACAGGTCCCAGCATGAATCTCGCTGCCAAGGCGTGGATGCTGGATTCAGAATCGAGCAAACGAGGGCGCCTTTGCGTCGCACCCCTGGAGGGCTCACTGCGTGTTTCTGCAATTGCAGGAGCGAAGTGTAGACAGCGTCCCCTGGCCATCCTAGACTGTGCGCACCAGTGCCATGGCTGGCTGCTCCCATTCGGCACCGGCGACCTCCATTGCAATGACAAGGAGAGCATATGCGCCGCTCCCCAATGTCGCCTGGTCTGTTTTCACGTTCCTTCGGTCCCTTTAGAAGTGATGGGGTAAAGAGAAATTGGTCGACGCTGGTTCACCACAAATGTTTCGAAATCGGAGCTGTCACGCAGAAATGTTGTCGGCAGTGCTATGCTGAAATGCGGCTGTTCCGGACACCTGACAATTGCTGTATCTCTGGAAGCATAACTTGTGACCATTGCCAAACATGGGTATCTGCCCGAAAAGGTGTAAGCGCCGCTTGGACGGCCCGTAGAAGGCGATGTTGCGTGAACAAAGAAGAAAGGAAACGGTGAACACCCCGAAGACGTCTCTGACTTGGGAGCGAGGGCTGGGTGAAGATGCGATCCTGGGTGCCCACCTAAAGTCATAACAGCTAATCACTTCCCAGAATGATCATCCATAAAGGCACTTTGGGAGATCCTAAGTACGAATGGCTCAGAATAAGGGGGTCAGTGGAACTGAGGGGCACATGCCATGTGCATGTCCTAGTTCCGTTGAACCATCGAGGTTGTCTGTGCCTGACGAGGAGAGACGCGTGACGTGGGTACTGACATGGTGAATAGGATTCGTGCCAAGGGAGTGTCTGCAATCAGCAAGTAGCTGAAATGCACTCACATCAACTCGGACCCAAGTTGGCCATGTGGTTAAGTTTGCAAGCGACTAAAATGCACACAACGGCACTAGGATTGTGGCTCATGCATATACAGGCACAATAAGTGGGGGACAAGATATCCTGCCAAAGCCAGGAGCACCTCTTTTACTCAGGGAGTTGCCACCCTTTCCTGTCATCCAGCTGTCTTAGTGCATTTAAGGCACGCTCTCGTCTTTAACCACCGCGAATGGAACTCAATTCGAATTTCTATGATAAAATAATTACATATTGCAGCAGGGCCGTGTGATAGAAAGAACTCTTTTTCCCAAGACAGCAACTGGGTTGCGTTGATATTTTTTCTCATGCAAGCGTGAGATCTCACTCCTTTGGAAGGGAGCGAGTTTGCGAACGAGGGATTTTGTTTTGCTAGCTCCAGGGCGATGTGGTGGAATGACAAAGGGCCCTTATAACATTGCCAGGAAATGTGCATACTTACATCTGTAATTGTATCTCACTTTCATTGGAAATGTATGCCGGGCAAACAGGTGGAATGAGAGAGGTTGTGCCTTTGAGGGGTTACTACCATGGCTAGCTTCACTCCACTATGCTTGCTGCATGGTTTGGCAGCTATTTGATGTAAATATCGCCAAGGGTCTGTGTTGATAATCTCCAACCACTGGCCATCGACAGCTCAAATGCAAGATTGAGTGTTTGTGGACACTAAAAAGGCGATCTTAACAGCATTTGTTGTGAGGGCGAGGGAGTGATTGATATGCAACATGTGATATATAGTGTTTTTTATGGTAGAAAGTAAATGTGGTGAGAATGGTGTTATGGTGAATGTACATGGAGACGATGGAGACGGGAGATGTACATTATTGCAGTGACTGTCATTTAGCTGGTACGATCATCCTGGAATGCATCTGGTTGCGGTTTTGCATCCCGTGCCTGGGAGGGACCGTGTGCGAGCGTGCGCGAGAGGGTCCGGTCAACCTGATATTTGTCATGCACATTTCAAAGCATCTCCTGTGCACTTTCAGTTCACAGTCGAAAGCCATAATCATATGATTGCATGTAGCTTCAGCTGCCAGAAAAGAAAGACATTCATTGCAGCAATTTCGAGCCCTTTTCTTACAGATACCAACACTACGCTGTGATTTCTGATCTTCCATATGGTATGGTAATTTGGATGGTGTGGTTATTCAATAAATTGTTGTGATTGTTTGCCAGTGCATTTGCCGATCCCCAATTGCCCAGAACGATCTCAACTACCGCAGCATACCTACCCCTTCGGCGCTTACAACTCGTCGCCGCTTATAACGGGCTTGCACTTTGGCATTCTGCGCAATGAGCGTCGCCCAGCAACTTTTCGCTCGGCGTCGAGCCAAGAGGAGCTGCAGGAGCACGGGAATTGGCTGAGAGCTGTTGAGAACATGTTGTAGAGGGTTGGTGCAAAGAGTGTCTCCATTGGTGCACAAAAGTTTGTGTCCAAACAACGGCATTTGAGGGGATAGGCCAGCGATGGGCGCTGCCGAAAACAGTTGAAAGGGTGACGGACCCGTGATCATCGTGCTGTCTAATGTCCGCTCCGTTGGGGCACAGTCACATTGGCCTTGTGAAGGGGTGCAAGGCGTTCCATTGATTGGGTGTAAGGCCAGCACTGGAAGGGAAAGGCCAGGCATTGGCACTGGCGTGTGCAATTGAAAGGGAGGCAGTGCGATCAACTGGGTGCCGTCCTATGGCCACTAATATTAGTGGCCATAGACCGCGTGCCCCTAATTATAATTAGGGGCGCGCCGACGAACTGCACTTGGGGGGAGGCATGCAAGGCGCAATCGCGTTGCCTACTCGTCTGCATCCGCCACGGCGCAAACATGGCGTAGATTGGCCACGTGGCGCAAGCGCACACACCATTGCCCTGGATGGTGTGGAGTTGTTGCACCTCTGTTTTCCACCTTTCTGTGACGGCAAACTGTTGCACTCACCACACGAGGGTCAGCCTTATATTGCTGTCAGCCGCGACTGATTTCACGACTGATTTTCGCGACTGATTCTCCCGGTCGGGAGAAAAGGCCAACAAATCATGTCCATACGCAGCTCTTTCGGATGTAGCATGACCATTGAAGCCGGTCAGAACAAGTTGTTTACAGCGATCGGATACGATTGCCACCAGAAGGGATTGGAGAACGCGGCCCATGTTGTAGACAGGGGTGACACTTTGCGTCGATTTTGTTACATTTCACGTCAAGTTGACAGTGTCAACTCGACACAAGGGAAGGGGGGCTGCTGTCTCGCTAAATAATTACTTTATTGAGACAGAACCGACACAGCGCTGGCTGTTTGCCTTCAAAACTCATTCACCTTCCTCGCAATGTTTTGAAGGGCAATGTTTCTCAGCCGTCCAACATCCCCACGTCTTACCTTGAAATTCAAACACGTATATATGGGGCCCTTGGCTCCCAAATCGCGTCAACCGGAATCACCAGATGGGATTGAAAAGTGGAATCAGGTCAGAATCCGATCTCAGGTGTCGCTTTTGCAGGAGGACCAGTGACAGCCAACCAGTCTTGGCAGCTGGGTTGCCCCGCCGTTTGCCGCACGTCGCCACTGGGCAGCGCGGTCTGTGCCACAGCTCCAAGCACCTCATGTTCAGGGGTTGAGATGCGAATCATCCCTGCGATGACAATTGCGCCACAGTACTGCAACATTGATAGTTGCTGCAAAAAAATCGGGGGGAGAACATCGCGCATCTTCCTGAAAATAGAATGGCTGACCCGATGGCGTTGCTATCCGGGAATGTTGCCGAACCTGCCGGCATCAACATGAGTAAGGATTAGCTAACGCCGGGGAAGGTCTCAACTTGCGGGAATCGGTGTTGAGCACAGCGGCAGCGACCTGGTGTCACCGCTTGTGTGCACACCACAGCATGGCCTTCACCATACAGCAGCGCACAAAGGTTTGTGCCAGCCTTCCATTGCCATCGCCTTTCCATTTCCTGAAGGGAAGCGTCTCTTCGCTGATGGCAACAACGTAAGTAAAGATTAACACCGGCGGCAATCGATGTTCTGCGCAGCTGTATTGACGAGGTGCTTCCCTTGTGGGCGCAACCACAACCCAGCTTTCGCCACGCAAAAGCGCGGCAAGGTTTGTCCCAGCCTTCCATTGCCCCAAGGCGAGCATCTCTTCGTTGATTGCGAAGATCTCTTCGTTGATTTCGAAAATCTCTTCGCGCTACGACTGCCGTCTGCCTCAGAGTCTGTCTCCCGCGGAGCTCGTGTACCGTCAGCGGCCCCTGATGGTTTTTCTTCGCTGTTCCCAGGACGCACGTGTGGCCCCCCGGCCCCCGCCGAGAGTTCAGTAATGGCGATGGCGTCCCCGGTGCCTCACGTACAGCCATGCAGCATGCAGTACATCCAATGGCCGCGCCCCTTGAGCGTCGCGGTACGGCCTCGCTCCGCACAGTCACGGCCACCACGCATTATCCCTCGTCCCCCGCCGCGTGAGATCTTTGGCCAAAAGCGTGCCCAAGCCGCGGCAACCCCCGTCCGCCCAGTAACCCTTACTCACAGCGCCAGACCGCTGTTGTCGTAGCCGATCGTGCGCGCAGGTACACGGCAAGACAGACGACGGCTTTCCCCAACTGTGCCCAAGGATCCCCTCAGGCGGCGCCATATCCAGAACTACCACTCCGACAGCGCGCGGAACGCATCACGCGTCTGGCAGACCCCGGTAATCGACCCGGGGGGGGCTGCCACCCCCTTCGTCAAGCACCCTGATGGGCCCCATTGACGGGGCACCTCGTATCTGCAAGCCTGAAGATCGCTTGGATGGCCATGGCGACAGAACCATTTCTTGGGCAGGGCGGTGGTGAGCTACGCCAGCTGAGCGGCGCAGAGGGACGTGGTGCCTGGCAGGGCGCCACCGCACGCGCCCGCACGCTCGCCCCGCGCGGGCCTGCCCGACCGCGGGCGAGGCGCGACGCGCCGCGGGAGACAGCGACCGGGCAAGGCGGCCTGGGCGGCGGCCCCGGCGCCCGCCTGTCTCAGGAGGGGGATCGCGCAGGTGGGCGGCTCCGCGCATTTGCCGCGGGCGAGTGGCCGGAGCGTGATTGGCGCTTTTGCCCTGGTCGCCGCTGCATGACCGCGGGGAAGGGGCATGGCGGGAACGGGCAGCGCCCCGGGCGGTCCGCGCCGGTCTGTGGTCAGCGGAGCGGTGCCGCGGCGATCTATTGGGAGTTTATCCGGGGATTGGGGGACGTGGGGCGGGGCTATCGGCGGGGGTTCTCGCGGCTCTCCACGTGCCCTGCGCGGCTGGCGAGAGGCGCAGTGCCTTCCCGGTAACGTGCCTTGGGGTCGTCCTTCGGCCTTCGGCGGACACTGGGTGCCTATCGATGCTGCGCCGCCGCAAAGTCATTGCGCCGGCCGGCGCCTTTCAAAGGACGCTCTGTTTGGCCCGATCATGGGATTGCTCATCCCGATGGGCGCCGCGCCGTCCCTCCAGCGGCCTGCTCCCTGCGCCGGGAAGGCCCTGTTCGTTGGGAGGCCGGACGCCGGTACTGGTCCTGCCGGTGGCGCGCCTGGCCGCGGATATGCACACTGGGAGTGCGAATCACGGGGGGCGTTTTGCTAACTTCGCGGGCCACCGTTTGCGCCCGTCGTGCTATTGCGCCCCCCGTTGGTGCCTTTACCTCGTTGCGCGGGCTGCGTGCCTTGGGCTGGGACAGGCGGAGTGGGCGACGGGCCGTGCTTTGATCCCTTTGGGACCCGCGTGCTTCCCTTGTGTTGATTGCCTGCCCCTAGCCCTGCCGCGCCCCCTCGACTGCCGTACGTCGTGCCCAGCGGGGCCCTCCTGCTTGTGTCCTATCGAGTGCCTCTGGTGCCCAAAGGGGCCTGGGGTACCTCGGGTGACCGACGCGTGAGGGAGCTTCGACAACGCGGGCAGCCCGTCGATCCGCGCATTCCCGCAACGCGCTGCCGCCGGTGCAGTTTCGCGGGTGGAAATGACGTGCACGTGGGCCCGTTTCTTCCTCGGCCGATCCTGCGCCAAGTTTGCCCGTGGCGATCATCGGCGCAATCATTCCCTTCCTCAGCAAGGGGCAAGAACCAAGAGGGTCGCACCCCTGAGGCCTGCTGGAGCGCGCAGCGTCCCCGACTCCTGGCCCGCCGCCGACCGTGATGTTGTCAGCACGGTCAGCGCGGACGGCATTTTACGACTCCTCGTGCGCTCACTCCTGACTAACGGGGCGGCATGACCTCCGGCAGGGCGCCCTGAGGCGAGCCGGAGGCGCTCCAGGGGGCAGCGACGGCCGCCATGACGCGCGAGAGGAAGCAACCGTCGTGCTGGCAGACGCTGTGCTGCATCGCGGCGGGTGCGCGCCACTCCGAGGACCACCTCACGCCCCCGCTGTCCGTAGCGTCCTCCACCGTGCGCAGCATCGCCCTGGACGCTGAGCTCGACCAGGCCGGCGGAATGGCAGCCGGGGTGCGGTACAAGCCGGTGTACAGCCGGCGCAACGCCAACGGCGCCTGGGGGCCGTGCATTGCGGCCTGCGGCGTGCGGCCGCTGCACACCATGAGCATGCACGAGGTGGTGGCGGTGGGCGAGAGCCGGCGGTGGTCTCCAAAGAGCGCGCCGGGGGCGATGTACCCCAGAGGCTGCGGGATGGGGACGTTTGTCCTCGAGAGCCAGGAGGTGGAGGTAGTGGGGAGGGGAGGGGGCCAGAAGACGTGCAGAGAGTACTCCCCGGTGGGAGGCCCAGGGGCGAGCTCCGCGCGGCGGCCCAGTCCCGCCGGCCACAGCCCCGACAGCCTACCCGGCCGGCCGGACTCCAACCTGAGCGCCCGCAGCGGTATCGAGGCAATAGTCAGCGGGCGGGCGCGGCAAGAGCCAAAGAAGGAGCTGCAGCTGCCGGCGCTGACGATCGCGCCGCGGCTGGACGCCTCCTTATCGCCCAAGTTCTCGGAGTTGGCGACGGAGGGGGGGGCGTACACGCCCACGGCGTGCACGCCCTACAGTGCCTTCACGCCCACCTCCGCCTACTCGTACTCCGTGTCGGAGCAGTTCTCGACGGTGGGCGGGTTTGACCCTGCGTCGATCCAGTGGGGCGGGTTCCTTGGGCGGGGCAACTTCAGCACGGTGTACAAGGGGCGTATCGACGGCATCGACTACGGCGTGAAGATCATCCGCAACCCGGTGAGCAAGGGCACGGAGCGCTTGGCGGGCTTCATGGCCAAGAACGTGCTGCACCCCAACCTGGTGCGCGTGTGCGGCGTGAAGAGCGTCACCGTGCACTGCAGCCTGGAGGACGCGCACACGCCGCAGCGCAGCATGGAGCGGTCCATGAGCATGGTGTCTCAGGGGGAGGCGTACCCGGAGGGTTTCCTGAACTCTGGGCGCACGGGCAAGACCGAGCTGACCATCCTGGACGACGACAAGTCGGAGTTCAGCATGCTGGCGCGCAACATCCCGCATAAGGGCGGGACGGGCCGGGAGGACACGGAGACTTGGGTGCTGATGGAGTACTGCGACGCCGGCACGCTCGATAAGGCGATCGAGCGGGGCTTGCTGTGCGAGGGCATGCGCTTCGACAAGCCCAAGATGCTGCACGTCCTGTTCGCCGCCCTGGAGATCGCCTCCGCCATGACGCACCTCCACTCCTGTGGCATAATCCACGGCGACCTGAAGCCCGAGAACGTGCTGCTCCAGTCCTGCGACCCGTCCCCCATGGGCATGGAGTTCACCTGCAAGGTCGGCGACTTCGGCTTGAGCCGGCGCACGAGCATACATGCCACGCAGCAAAACGACAGCTTCAACTGCGGCACGGTGGCCTACATGGCGCCCGAGGTCCTGCGCGACAACACCTCCACCTACGCCGCTGACGTCTTCTCCTTCGGTATCCTCCTGTGGGAGATGCTGTCGGGGCGGAAGGCCTTCGCCAGCCTGTCGCAGCCCGCGACGCTGGTGGCGATCGTGGAGGGCCGGCGGCCCAAGGTGCCGGCCTTCTTCCCCAGCTGGTACGCCCAGCTGTTGGAGGACTGCTGGAACCACAACCGCCAGGCGCGGCCCAACTTCGCGGACATCGTGGAGAGGATCAACCTCATGGTGCTGGCGTTCGAGAGGCCGCGCACGCCGGAGCAGTTCATGCCAGAGTCGTACTCGTCCAACCACTCGGAGAGGATCGTGGCCTACCAAGGTACGCCGGGCACCAGGCCGCCATGAAAGCCGCCTGCCAGCATTTCCCACTGCTCCGCCGTCAGGGCAGACGTTGTGAGTCACAACCTGTGACGACCAGTTGCTCGGGCGTCGGAGTCAGTGTGAGTCACAGCACCCGGATACTGGCCGGAAGCTGCCTGCGCCCAGTCCTTGACGGCTTGACGTCTTTGACTTCGGCTTCCCTTCGCTTCGCAGGCGCCCAGCAGTTCATGGAGGGGGACCTGCACACGAACCCCTTCTACGAGCACGACCAGGACCACCCTGAGGGCATGTTCGAGCAGGCGGGCTACCCCGTGGCTGAAGCCAGCTTCCACTCCATATCGTTCGACGACATGGCGTGCGGAGCCAACGCGCCCCTGGCGCCCACAGGTGGGTTACGGGGAGGTAGACCGGACAGCGCCCAGGGCAGTCGTTCTGCCAATGTCGCTCGCGCCATAATTGCGCATCGTCGCGCTCTGCCGTTTTCTCCACCGAGCGCGGGAACCCCCCGCGGGTGCTCGATCCCGCTCAGCCCCCTTTCGCTGATCTCTCCCTGAGACCGCGCCCCAGGTCGGGATCTCACACCCTCCGTCCGCCGCCTTCCGCAGGGTCCGTCTTGCCCAGCCCGAGGCGAGGCAGGCAGCACGCCCGGGCCAAGCGCAACACCCTCTCCGACAACTCCCTCCCGGACCTCAAGGAGTGCGACCCTCAGGCGGAGCTGACCGACTCGCCCACACCCACGCCCGCCGAGGAGGCCCCTTCCTCATCCGCCAAATCCCAGCCGCAGCAGCCGCGGCAGCGCCCACCGACCCCACCCACCCAGGAGCTCTCATCCCATCCCGTCGACGCCTCCGAGGAGTCCGAGATCGTGACGCGGTTCCGGAAGTTCTCCGCCAGCCTGAGGCGCGCCGGCCCCAGTCGGTCCAGCCCGGTGCCCGAGGACCGCGTGACGCTGCTGGGGCCGCCCAAGAAGGTCACGGCGCGGATGCAGGGCAGCGGGGAGAGCCTGAGGGAGAGCACGCGCCGTGTGAGCGGCCTGTCCACCGAGCCCTCCACGCCGCGCAGCTCCTGCACCACGCCCAGCGGCGACAGCGAGTACTGGGGTAGCGACTGGAGCCCGCCGCACACGGCCGGCCAGCCGCAGCGCCTGTCCGCCAGGGGCAAGCGCCTGGACGACGCGGACAAGGACGCGGGCAGGCGGGCGGGGCGGGTCGTCCGCCGGGAGGCTGCAGGTCAGGACTGGCATGGACCTGGCGGCCCAGCCCGTGCACTACGTCAATCAGTGGGACCCGATGATGTCCGGGGGTTTTATTGGGGACTCGGACAGGGGCACGTCCCTCATACGCCCCGTGAAGATCGAGGAGCTGGGGAATGAGCCCCCCCAGCCGCTGCACCAGGTGTCCTTGTGGGACTCCTTCACGCCAGGGGCCAGGGACTACAGTAGCCGATGTGTGATGTATGGAAGGCAGATCTGAGCATTGGGGCGCCGAGTCGTTTGGGAAGGGGGGCGCCGATCAAGAAATGAGGATGTACGTGTGGGGTGTCCTCATGCAAGAGGAAGAAAAGACAATACCTGTCAATGGGATTGATATTCGTTGCCCGCAGCAGCTGCGGACGGAATTCGAGAAACAAGTAATTGGGATAGCGACTGGGTAGGCAGATCCCGGGCGCTGTGGAAGTATTTGGAACGACTGTAGTTTTTGAGGTTATCTCAGGGGCGCTGGACTGGGCCCGTTCAATGTTTTCCGAGTACCTGGTTATGTGGCACGACAGGGACGTGCCCAATAACCAAAGGATGATCAATTCATATGGCCCATGTGTGGGATGTTTTTGGCTTGGACGGGTATAACTGCAGCAGCAATAATCAGGGATAGGATGCGCGACCGCACAAGGTGGCCGTGCTGGCAGTGTGGAAGGGGGCATTCTCCCTCTTGGGTGATGGGTTGAGGGGAGAAACCTTGCGGCATGGACGCCGCTTAGAAGTTTGGGGTCTGTCGGCGCGGCATGCGGGGCTGCACGCTGGTCGGTCTGTAGCCGTTCCCTGTGGCGTTGCCAGTGCTGGAGTTGTTGCTGTACTTTTTCGGAATCGAGGCCCCAGAGTGGTAGCTCTCGTGTGGAGGCCACGTGCAGGCGTTGGGGGATAATTCAGGAATGTGAGTGCGTGGCATAAAGATATGTATGGCTTTTTTTGGATTCCTTGGGATCATGGAGCATGGGGATCAAGCGGGAAGCAGGTATTTCCCACCAAGGACGTCAATAAATGCCCGCTGTTGTGTCGAGGCATCGGCACGGGGCTTGTTCCTGCGAGTTGTGCCAGTGTCTTCATAACAAGCCCGTAGATTTTTGTACTCTTATGGCACAGCCTGGCGCAGTTCCGCCTGTATTTCAAGAGCAGCATTGATATTGGATGATACTGGCGTGCGGTTGTCTTTTCGCTTTGCTTATCTATTGTAAGGAGGTACCGTGATGGTGTGGAGTGCCGACCCTCTGCACGTTTGTTTCTACTTGCCTGAACATCGGACTGTGAGCCTCCCGTGCCGTGGCCGCTTCGGCCGAAGCGGGTGCGTGCGCAAGAGCACTGCGGAACGAAATACCACGCAGCTGCGTGCAGCCAGTGTCGGAAGGCTGCCAGGCTGTGACGCACCACGACGGGACGTGCTCATCGAGGTCGACCAATTCGACGAGCAGATGTGCGGCATTGGTGCGACCAAGGCGGCCTCTTGAATGCCACCCGACGTTCATGCCCCCAATTCATTCCCGTTGTGTCTCGCGACGTACCGAAATCACCGCGGCCCCCGACTTCTAACATTGTAGAACGTCATACGACATGTCGTATTGGCAATCTCTTCTGCTGGTCCCAATCATTTCAATGACAGCGACGTGCGTCGATGGATGACACTGAAGTTGGGTGCTGGCCCCTGACCTCTGGCATTGTCATATTCGCAAGCTCTTCTGCTGGCCCCCATCATTTCAATGACGACGTGCGTCGATGCACAGCATTGGAATGCGGCCCTGTCTGAATCTTGACTGATGCCACCGCCCGTTCTTCTGTTGATGTTCCCTGTGGTGGACGCACGATGGGCGGCCTCCAAGCGCGATCTCGCAGCCTCCGCACCGCGTCCCCTACGAACCTCACGCGCAGTGCCACCGTACTTTACGCCAGACTGCGCAGACACAGTTTGCGAACGAGATACTCATGCAACATACCAACGCGTGTTGCAAATTGCGGCGGGATTCATGAAATTAACTATCCTGTTAACGGGTTTCTGCCAAGGGCGACGATGGGTGGGCTGCACCGGCGATTCAAACGGTGCAGTTTGAACCTGGGGTTTACTCAACCCCGTCCCTTGGGATTTCTGGCCACCCCCTAGTACCGTGGGTCAGTCAAAGTACGGTATTCCGAGGTGCCGCCCGCGAGGGCGCCCTCGAGTTTGGCGGGCTTTGGCGGGGCGGCGGAGGGCGGCAATTTAGGCAGCCCCTCGGTCCCCCTCCTTATCTTGTTTCGCACCCAGCCCTCCCGCCCTGGATAGTGGAGTTCGGGTTAGTTGTGGGATGGAGAGGGAGTTGAGGGAGTGAAGTACGGGAAAGGGAGCTGACTCATGGGGAGTCACTCACTGAAGTGGCATTGAAGTACTAGCGAAGCGAATGGGCAAGTTTGACGGACGGCAACCTCGGGTATGTGACATTGACGGTTGTTTGTAAGTATTGTCATGGGGGTACATGACGGGGTGGGCTCAGGAGACCGGTAAGGCAGAAAACCATATGCATGTGGTTGGGTGGTGTTGCCCCGAACGTTCGCTTCGGTTCGCTGTGGGAAGAAGAGGGAGTTGAGTACGAGGAAAGGGAAGCTGACTCTGGGTTGAGTCACCATGAGGGTGGCGTTGAGTACTAAGCGAAGCGAGGGCACTTTCAAGTGGGTCGCCAATCGGGTCTTGTATTAGTGAGGTGATGGACACCAAGGTGTGTGAGTGTAATGTATTGTCGTGTGGGGAACACGGGGAGGGGTGTCGGGTGAGGTGGGGTGGGGTGTGGGGTGGGGTGTGGGGTGGGGGGGGTGGGGGGGTGAAGGTGACCGGTATGGCAGAAAGTGCGTGATGCGCATGCAGGCGGGTGCGGGCAGGGTCTTCACGTGGCAAAATACCCCGGCGAGAATCGGATCTACGCTGCCGTGGGGCGCACATTCGCTTGTTCGTGGAATGTAAACATGTTGGATATCCGTACTACTGGTACGTTTGAGATTGGGCGAGCAGAGGCACATTCAAATACGTCGAGTGGGTCGAGTGAACTCGACTTGATTGAATGGCTGGCCAGCAATGTGTCGATTGATCGGCTGCCTGAATGCCTTGTTCCATAATGCACGAGATACGCTTGATTCCTGTCCATAACGCATTCAGAGCCAGCGCAAAGAACGGAAGGTGGGTGGTCTGTGCGCCCATTGCACAGCAATGCCTGCTTGCTGATGCGGCGCTGGCCATGATCTGTCGCTCTACTCCTGCTCCACATTGCATTCACATGCACGTGCGGGGACATCAAGTCGATTTGCTCCCAGTGCCTCGACGACAGTGAACAGGATGAGCCTGAACCACGATTCTCCTTCGACCTGAAAAATTTTGGCCGCGAGGGGCCAATGCATCCAAAGATCAAATGGTAGCGAATGCTGTACAAGTACAGGATTCGCTCCAAATTGAGGTGTCAGTTTGAATTTATGTCGCAGTTTGAATGTATGTCTAAATTTAGGTGCAGGACGCCTTCCTGTTGGTTCCTCATTCCGATTAAACCGATGTGCAGAACCGACATATAAGGGTCCATTGTGTAGAACCTTACATACGAAGGCATTTTGGTTTTCACTCACTCCGGAACTATTAAATATCAAGTCAAGGTGGAGGCCCTCAGCTTGCCCACAAGAGGATTTGATTTTGGCAACTCCCATGTTTCATCGCTCCTAGGCGGACAAGTTGCAACAAGCTGTAGACGGAACCGCATTCAGCCTGGGTGCTAGACATTATCACACTTTCCTCTTCAAATCGCAATTTGGAGCCGAGCGAGGGCAAATCGACCGTATCCCGAGTCCGTGCCAGAAATTCGGCGGGTCAGCGCATGTCGCCGGCACAGCTTTGACCGGTGGTTGAGTGTGCACCCGTCAGCGACCCGCCGGCGGCCGGCGCCGCCCTCTCTGCACAGCATTCCTGTGGCCTCACTGGACGGGACCCATTCCCCACTCCCCCGCCAAGGGCACCAACACTCCAGCGCGGTACGCCCGGCAACCCAGGCCCGCCCGGGGGCCTCAGCTGACGGGCCCGCTGCGGCGCGGTGGCCCAGGGGGAGCAGGGACGCCACAGCCGACGGGATGCAGCTCCTACGCCTCGCGGCGCTACTGAGCTGCGCCCTGCTGGCCAGGGCGGCAGTTACGTACTACGCCTTCGACGGCAAGGGGAACAACGTCGCCCACCCGGAATGGGGGTACGGCGCTCGCGCCGCGCAGGGCGGTCACCTCGCGCGCTCGTGGGCTAACGTCGACGGCCTCTGTGGGGGGGGCTATGGGTCGACGAGGACGTCAGACGCCCCGCGCCTCACCACCCCTGGGCCCTCGAAACGGTTTCGAAGCCATCAAAAGATCCTTTGAAGGCCGGGAAGCGGCGGCGGCGGGGCGAGTCATAGCTGCCGCGCGGCAACGTGGGCGGGCGGGGCCTCGGCTTTGTTTGTGAGGTGGAGCTGGGGATCGATTTGGGAGATGGAACTACGCACTGGGGTGCTGGGGAGGTCAGGATGGTGGTCCCGCGTACGGCCTTTTGTGCTGAGACTGTTCCTTAAACTGCGTTCCGCGGCGCTCGCCGTTCCAATGCGGTTGCCGTTGGACGGAGTCTTGATGCGGTTTGGGCGGCATTCGTGCCGCCTTCCTTCAAGCAGGAATAGCGTGCATGTGCGTGCACTGCATCGCTGTCGATGTGGCCAGTCGGTGCAGACGGGGCTTGACGCCATTGAGCTTACAGATGCACGACGGTGCTCAGACAGGGTTGCGTTGGGCTGCCTACTCAGTACGAGTCCACTAACGCAGAAGCGACGACCAGCAGCTGGTGTTGAAGACGATCAGCTGCCCGTTGACAACCAGCACTTGGCATTCTTTGGACCATTTTGACAGCAACGACCAGCTGGCATTCCACCAATTTGTATGATGCTCGAAGAGCGGCCGCCTTCATTCCCTCGCAGTTTGAATATGGATGTGTTTCATATGGGTAGAGGGTGGAAATGAAGGGCATAAACGCAGGAATGACAACACGTTACGCTAGTATTTATCACACACATGCAGGGCCCTTGGAGCAGTACGTACAATGGACATTGTCAAACAACAACTTGATTGTCGTATCGTGCATTGTGTGTGGGCTTGTGTGGGTGTGTGGGGCTGGCGGGGTGGCGCTGGGTGTGGTTGTAAGACCACCGTTTCCAAAACTTGACACTTCCAAGTAGTTGCGGCCCAAGAACGGGTTTGGAATGGGGGCCAGACTTTCGGGGAATTGTTTTCCTCTGCTACCCTGCAATAAGCTTGCTAACGCACTTCTTTCATCTCGGTTATCGCTTCCTGTTCCTCAGCTCAACAGGCCACGAGCTTCAGCGCTTCCAGGTCCCTGCGGCGTACACTGATGGCATCAGTGAGCCATCGGTAAGCGCACACCATCAGAACATATTAATGCGATCAAGGGGACTGGGGGCCCGTCGACTGCATTATTCGCCTCGTCTGTCCTTGTATGTGAGAACAGTGTTCGAAAATTCGGGATGGCGGAATGGGGAACGCCCAACAATCGGATTCATACCAATCATGCCCCTGATTACAAATTACAAGTTCATCCGTACCTTGATGGCACATGTAGCTCTTCTCACACCTGCTCTGCCACTATGGACAGTACTGAAAGCATCCATAATCTCTTTCCTTATCTGCACGTCTTTTCCATGTCTCATGTGCTCATCATTTCATCTGCTCGCCTTCTTCATGTGCTTTGAAGACTTCAGTCATAGCTCGGGCAATCTCCCTGCCTTGCATTCATCGAATTGTCTTCCATTAAAAACGCCCTTAAATTGAAACGTAGATCATGCTCGGGAAGTCGGCGAACGTCTTCACAATTTCCCTGTGTGACACTCGCCACATTCTGCCTGTATCAAACATGTTCACTAAATAGCCATCATATTCACGAATTGACATTGCGGTCATTTAATGACGGTGCTTGACACTAGACAGCAACACGCATGCACAACGCACAGGCAAGCTGGGAGTTCTCAATCGACTCAGCAGCCGCGCATTATCAGATGGATTTCAGTTCGCCCAATGCATCCCGCCACCGAACAAAAGAAAACTTTTCCAGATTGTGACATCTGAACGCCGACGCCACCCTGGACATCCGCCTGAAAAGCGGATGCCGAAGGCGGCGTCGGCGTGCAGATGCCCAATGTGGAAACTGAAATTTCCATATGCTGCGCAAGCACTGGAACAAGCAATGCCGTGACGTGCTTCGGAGGGCGAAGCGCCCCCGTTGAGATATCCAAACTGCGTACCCAGGTACCAGTTGGCGCTCACGTACTGTCCGGCCTATCATGGCAGCCGTACTCCATGCATGTTTCGAGGATGGGAGCATTCTATCGGAATAATGCGTATTTCAGGATCTATTTCATTCAGCACAAACGCGGGAGCCAGTGTACCGTGATTTGCGCACTTCATTGAGGTCGCCTCGACTCCGCTGCGGCGGTCGCAGGGCCAGGATCGCCCTAATCCGAGGAAGATCACCACGGCGCTGTCCCTACCCCAAGGCAGGCACAAGATGAGGAGCGCGCGCTTGGCCACCGACATGCTCACCTACATCGGCCAATTTTACGATCACGACATTGACCTGACGCCCGGAGGCAGCGAGTCGTGGCCCATCGACGTTCCCGAATGCGACCTGCAATATGATCCCGAGTGCGCGGGAACGGTGCAGATGGGATTCTCTAGGTGAGCAAACGACGATGCGTACCGTTTTTGGCATCTTTGTCCATTACACATCAAGGTGTGTGCATGGACCTAACAGCGCACCCGAGATGCTACGTCTTGTGCAACGGCAGATTTGTCCTGGACGCTATGCGAATGCTGAAAAAATCTCTCCCTCCTTGAGATGATTCTCAAGGACTTGAGCTAGACACTGCATGAACATTCTAATCGGCGGGGGCTGCAACATCGTAGCCAAGCAGGTTTGCAGCTCTAGGGACAGGAGTCATTGAATCGAAATCGTGTGCGCAATCTCTCACAGTGTGAGGGGTTGTTATTAAAGAGAGCCAATTTGCGGCACCTCAAATTCGCGACAATGCATTACAGCCCGAGCAAGTGTTGCATGCTTCTCGGAAGGAAATATATTCAGCAGGAAATGTTTTGCTCTGGAGCAAATAGGCACCAAAATTTGTGGTGTTTTTTACTTCGCATTCCAGCTGCAATTAATCAAACAGCGCATCTCGTTAAGGCTCATGAGGCATGCCTTGTCAGCCTTGGTAGAATGTGCTGTCTCAATAATGCCATACAGGTGTCATTGAATTCCGTTGCTTACTCCAACACGCCTTCCCAGGTCAGTGTACAACACAAGCACCCCAGCCACCCAGCCGCGCCAGCAGATCAACGGTATCACCGCCTACATCGATGGTAGCGTCGTCTACGGTTCCACCTACGATAAGGCCGAAAAGATCCGCGCCTTCCGCAATGGCCGCCTTCTGACGCACGACAACAACATGCTGCCCTTCGCCACTGCCACGATGGGCGTCAGCATGGCGGCCGACTCCGGAAAGGAGGAAGTGGTTCGGGCGGCGGGAGACTTCAGGGCAAACGTCAACCCTCCCATCCTTGCGCTGCAGACGCTGTTCATGAGGGAGCACAACAGGTGCGAGGCAGTGATTGCGATTACCGCTTCGGCGACCAATGGGAAATTAAATATCCTCTATGGCAAGCTCGGAAATTGTGTGCATTCTTCTGTAAGCATTCAACCGATCTCACGCTGGCAAAATGTTGTCTCAGACACCACATCGTCTGCAAGGCAGGGAAAACTCATTTTGGCTGTCATCCTGATGATTGGAAAGGCCCTCTGGCACCAGGCTTTCGGAAAGCTTTCTGAGCTTTGACAGACCTGCCACACCTAGATATGAATAGAAACAGTCGTTTCGAGATATCTGCCTATGTTTCCTAGCTTTCTGTTCTAAATCTAGCATCCAGATCCATTGGCAATCCTGTGGCCAATCACGTGCATGGCTCCAATTTGCAGACTGGCTGGAGAGATCCAGGCAGAACATCCTGGATGGGATGACGAGCAAGTGTTTCAGGAGGCAAGGAAATGGAACGTGGCCCAGATGCAGGCCATCTGCTATTACGAGTACATGCCGTCTCTCGGCATTCAGCTGGACGCCTACAAGGGCTACAAGTCCAATGTCGACGCAAGTGAGTGCTCGCAGAGCAGCGAAGCTGAACTTAATCAACGATTGGTTACTCGACGCGAAGGACATGGCGGCGTAACTAATATATATCCGGCTTAAAACAGCCTTTCGTGCAAAATGTCGTTAGTGAGCCAATAGCACAATTAGTGTGCAACATCTTGATTTCCAAGCAAATTGTAAAAACTATTGTGTTCAATATGTGCAATCGACCCATAATGCAATAAATATGCTCAAGATCAAAGAAAAACACGTTTTGAAGTTGCGCAACATTACCATTTCTACACTTGTGTAATATCCACTAACGACATTTTGCACGAAAGGGTGTTTTAAGGCGCAACCGGGCTTTAGCTGCATGAAACGGCTCATTAGTGTTGTGCTTATTCCTTGCATGATGCGCCGTGCGAGATGTCCAGGCGATAGATTATGGCTACACCGGAGCATACGTCACCCAATTGCGGCGCCGTGGATGTGGTGGAAGGGGCGAATAATAGTATATCATTCATGCGGTCTTCTGTTCTGACTGGAGGGTAAATGCTTCAAAGTACAGCTGCGTTCTTGGGAACATATCCCCATTTCTTCTGCCCTTACGTCTGCGCCTGACATGATGGCTTCCAATAAACGACTTTCAAGTAGTCTGTAGTTTAAATATTTCACTTTCGCAGATATATTTGTTGTAGGTAGTGCTGTTTGTCTGTGTTTTAGATAGCTCCAGGTCTGCAAATTTCTCAGATGTCATCAACACGTGGAAGACGTTGAATTGCATGAGGTCAAGTGAATAGATTTGTCACCGCGTGGGCCTATAGTTGGCGAAACCACTCCTATAATATATTAGGCAATGACACATTGTTCGCGTGATGTTGGCCAGACCATGTCACATTGCTAATTCCGTGCTGCTGAGAATTGAGGGATTTTGGAACGATTCAACTGATAACAGTTCAGCAGGACATTTGCACTTGTTGAAAGGTACGTGCGGCTCAGTTTCGTCACAACATATTTACTCCAAAATGCGCAGAGAAGGACCCGCGATCCGCGGGAGCAGAATGCTCAGACCCGCGCCCCATAATTTTTGGTGCGTTGCTCAAAATTGCGCTCGCTTGGAGCTTGCCACCCGCGAAGCCAGCACTGAGAATCGCACACATCCACTCTAGCCAGGCCCCGGCTGACGCTCACACACCGTTGCCTGTGAAAATCTCCATCAGGTGTGGACAACTTTTTCTCCACGGTGTCGTACCGCTACGGCCACAGCGAGGTGGGCGACGTCATCTTGCGGCTCGACGAAAACGGCAACGAGATCCCCGACGGCCACCTGCCGTTGTTCGAGGTGTTTTTCTTCCCAACGAAAGCCCTCGCCGCAGGCGAGTGCTGTTTAATGCTGCATTTGCTCTCCGGTGTTTTGCCCTGGATGCGCCGTTCATGCCGTGGTATACTAAACCCTTTCGCATTTTGAAATTTCAACGCATTTTGGCTCCGATTTTTTCAACAGATCGATTGGCAGTTTTCCGCCACAGCCACTCATGCATCTGGAGAGGCTAGACGCCACGAGCAGTTCAGAGACCCTCGTGTTGCGGCCGGCGCTGCTCCTCATTTTCTTGGCACCGTTGCGTTCTTATTGTTGCTCCGCATGAAAAGGCCGAACGTTGCGTTCCTATGCTGAAGGGTATAAATACTACGGTGCGGCCATACCAGTAGGCTTTAGGCATAGGCTGCAGTTGGGCAGGAACACGGTAATTCACTTTGAATGCCGCCACCTTGATGGCAGCGCCACCCATGCCAATTGGCCTCCGCTACCCGAAATGAACCGAAAACTAGCCAATGCACATCGCATAATGGTCGTCTGCAGCGAAAGCCAAGTATCTATACAATCAAGCTCACCCAATGAAGTGATTCAGTTTAATTTTGAATGCACATCGAGCACCCACATGTATGTGAGAATACCGCGGGTACGCTCCGGTTTTGAAATTTAGCCAATCAGCAATTTCTCATATTAACTTGGGAAATACGATTACGGCTGAAAACAACAATACGAGAAATTACGTGCATCATTCGTATTTTGATTTCGGCCAAAAATTAAGTCCAAAGGCAGCTCGAAAAGACTTAAAAACTGGAACACGAGCGTCAATTTCAATCAATCGGTCAGTGCCCCGTGTCCGCGCAATCCACAGCATATTCATCTACTGCATCTGAAGCAGCGATTGTGCTATCAACAAACCTCTCATGCATTGATCTATTCGACAGCGTCAGGGATCTAGTTTCCCGCTTCTTCCTTCGGCTTGAGCTGGAGTTTAGCGTGTATCATAACGTGTACATTCAATCACCAGCATCCGCTTTTGATCACTTCCTGGTTTCCTCACCGTTGGCTCTGCAGCTGCGGCTTCCGGTCCTGCGGTCCCGGTGACGCCGTCGCACATAGCACACTTCAAGCAAGAGTTCCTCTACTTTTCCGTGAACTCGAATGTCTGTATATATTCCATGGATATGTTCCATTTATTCCATAGATTCGAATTGCCGAGATACGCTGAGTCGCCACGCGGGTTTCAGGCATCGAACCGATCCTCCGCGGGATCAGCTGGCGGCACCAGATGGAAGTGGACACCTACTTTGCCACGTCCGTCTCTCACTTCCTCTTCGGGGACCCCGGCGCGGGTGGGTCGGACCTGACTGCCAGGAACATTCAACGAGGCCGCGACCACGGGATTCCAGATTACAACACCTGCAGGTGCGTCTGAACGGCGGCGCAAGAGATTCGTGCATGCAGTGGCGCTGAGACTCAACTTGAGTTCCCCTGAAGGGTACCCGTGCTTGACGAGCGGCGTGGCAACAAGGCGCATGTCTGTTACAGTTGCCAGTCCACTGCATCCGTGGCTGCTGCCAAATTATGTGAGTTTCGAATTGAAAAGCGTGGAAAAAGCAGAGGTGGCTCGGAACGTGAAGTGGCGGGAAATGGCGGGAACGTGGAACCGGCCCTGGAATTTGTTTCCATGGTTTTTGACATTCTCGGCGGCGATTTGCCACGAG